TATATACTATTTATAAATATGTTTGTATTTTCTTTAATAATACTTGAACTTGTAAGATATTACATAAATGTATTTTTTTATATTCTGAACTTATTTTGTGTTTCGCCTAAGAAAAAGTTTGCCAATCTGCAAAAACTCGTTTTTCGATTGAACAGTAATTATTTTGTATACCCTAATTTGCTGTTGATTTTATTTAATTTGGAAACTATTCGGATCCGCGACGCTTGATGTACAAATATTATTTTTGTTTAGCTTAAAAACAAATGCTCCAAAGACTTTGTGAGTTTTAGGTCGATTGATAATGGTCGCTTGTTATTGCATACGTTACACAGATTGTTGTTTATTGTATTCACTTTAATTAATATTCGTACGAAATGTAAGGCAATTAAAACTATTTTTCTAATTTTTGTAAAGAAGACAATTGAGGGACCCGTTTGCACCTGGCAGTGATGCACTGCATTGATATTGATTGAAATTGAACAGTTTGTCTAAGTGTGATACAAGATGCGAATAGTAATTGCCCTAGTGCGGTAATTATATATTAGGTGTATATGGATATACTTAGCTACGATTAGTCAAGTCAAGTATAGGCTTACAGGCTAGGTCTTATGCAATAGGCTTAGTTTCAGTTACAATTCTGCTCTGATTTTATGGCTGCAACACCATTTGACATAAGAAACTCGTTAACATTTAATGCTAGTCCAATATTAGGCTACAGTTCTGATTTGTAGTACCGCCAGTTGTCCGTTATCAACGGCGTTCAACAGTGTAGTATGTAGTAATGTTTGTAACCTAGTGTAAAAGTTGAGCTTTTTTAGTCTCTGAGACATCACTATCACTCTCCTTAGGTGCTTTCTTCTCGCAGAACTCGATTAGATACGAACATACGCCGGAGAGTGCGATAAATATGCCAGCATAATAGAAGGTGTCGTCCCATCTGAAAAGAGGATTGAACGGAATGGTCAGGAACAAGTCAGGGGCGATGGTAATATAGATGACTCACCTGCCCGTATTCTCGTAGATAACGCCCGCTATTGGGGGTCCTGCGATCATGCCCACGCCCTGCACCAGCAAGACCAGACCGTAGGCACAAGTGAAATCGTCCAGGTCAACAATACTGACCAGAATGCTGGGCGTAAACGAAAAAGAGCTGGCGAACGTGAATCCGAAAATGATGCACATGATCATCAGACCTATGTAGCTGGTCATCAGAAGCGGCATAAAGAACACCGAGGCTCCGCAAACTGAAAAATATTTTGATGATATACTATATAGGGATACAGTAAGGATCAACTCACCCAACATGCATAGCGAGTAGCATATGTTGATGTTCATCCAGGGCAGATCGCCCAGATAGCCCAGTCCTATCATGCCTATCGTTTGGGCTACGCCAACATGCGATATCAACTCGGCACTCACGCTCACATCGTAATGGTATTGCTTCATGTATTCGGGTAGGTAAAGATAAGGGATAATGAACCTGTGGAGCGTGCCAAGAGAAAGATTGATCGCTTGTTAGAAAGGCCTTATCTGGACAGGGTTGAGTTTGTATTGATTTTAACTAGTTCCTTATCGAACTAATGGAACACTTAGACTCTGCGCACATGGGGTAAGATAAACCCAAGATCTTGATCTTGAGCACATCTTGCGAAAGCCGATCAATAACATTGTACTTGTACTTTCACTGGTTTTGGACAATACCATATTATTGTGCAACTACTTTTCGCTTTCGATCAGCTGCCAAAATTGTTTGTGAAAACTTTTGGCAAGTGTACAATTTTAAGTTGACGGCTTGGCACATTCATCTATTAATTTTAGCATTTCTTTTGCCTTTCGTTCGTGCGCAGCTTGGGACCTTCGCCAACCGTGATATTGTTTTCCTCTTTATTGCCAAAAAGTACTCACCAAATGAACAAAAACAACGTAGAAAGATTGAAGAGCGCGAACTTCATGTCCAAAAAGAGGGAAAAGTCAAAGATTGACTTCATGGTGTCCACGAAACTGTCGTACCAGGTCTGTCGGGAGAGAAACAAAATTAAGTAAATGTTTGATACAAAATAAAATATTTAAAATATTTATATACTTCTTTAATTTGTTTTGATACTCTAAGAGTGTTGAAACCTGTTATAGGATTTTAATATGATAGAAATCATCAAGTATAATAAAAAAAACCATCACAATATATGTTATAAACAATTTAGTTAAAAGCCAAGGCTAAAAGATTTTATGATTCCAAGGTTCAAGAATTTTTTGATACCAAATAATATTTTGAAATAATCTATTTAAGAATGTTTTGATTCGACTCTATTAATTTTATAATGACATTGACATGAAATTTTAGACATGATAGGTTACTAATTATTACTTCTTCATATTAATACTTCTTTAAATATAATAGAAATCATAAAGTACAATAAAAAGAAGCCATTGTTTGCACATCACAATATATATAATATTATAAACATTTTGATTAAAAACCAAAGTTGAAGGATTTAATGATGGCAAAGTTTATAAATTGTATGATACAAAATAATATTTCTAAATATTGTATTTAGATTAAATTATAAATACTTTCGTGAAACTTTAGACATGATATGTGATAATAAGATGATATTTGAAGGTAAGAAATAACTAGTTCTTAGGCTGATATGGATGGGCTGCGTTCCCTGCGTGGCAGTACGGAAGTCAGAGCGTGTACCTTATCAGCCATGGAACGTTGCCCATGTGGTCCAACTTGGCGACCTCCCAGAGGACAGGGAGGCAGGGCAGCTGATAACCAGCACCGAGCATTAACCAGCTGGGGCTGTCACCAAGCGACCAGCAGATAAGAAAGGGGCCAATGGTCACTGTCTACTCACATCTTCCTCCTCCTTGGCGATGGTTGTCATCGAGTTGCGGTAGATGTTGGGACACGAGGAGGCGCGCAGCCGGTAGCGATGCGTGTTCAGCATGGCCCCGCGGTAGTGGATCGAGTTGCGGTGGATGCGCATGTCCTTGAGGAAGTTGGAATTACGGATCGAGATGTTGCGGCGCAGGTTCGATCGGTGGTAGCTGGGCTTCTTGGAGCGCGACAGCCGACGGATCCCGGTGATGCTGTCCAGACGGGCCCGTCGCATGGCCAACTCGCTATTGACTGGATGCTCCTGCTCTGGGATGACTATTACCGTTGGCCCGATCCGCCGGCTCGGTTCCAGCAAGGCGAAGGTCTCGTCCTTCGAGTAGTAGCAGTGCATGTCCTCGCTCAGGATGTCCACCGAATTGTGGCGCAGCCCGTTTACCTTCAGGTTGGAGATCGATGGCGTCGTGTGCTTGGCCATGAAAAGGTTCTCGTTCAGCGAGTACCGGGAGCTGGCGTGCTTCTGGGTGAGGTAGCCCTCGTCCGAGGAGCGCATGGATCCATTGGGTGAGCCACCACCGATGGAGCGCTTCTCCGACGGCGACAGAGTTTCAATCGAGGCCAGGTAGGCCTTCCTGGCCGCGTCCACCGCCTCTTGAGCGATGCCGCCCATTAGGGTGTCGTCCGGCGATCCGATGACGGCCGTCGATGTCGGATAGGCACCTGCTCCCGAGGACATGGAAAGGAGGTTCTCGCGCGATGGGGCCTCCGCACCCTCCTTGTGCCGCAGAGAGCGCCGGCTCAGGCTCTTCACCTCGTAGATGCTGTCCAGCTCCTGGGTGCTCAGGAAGGTGGGCAGGAAGATCTCGCTGCGGTAGCGCTTGAGGGCCGAGTCCAGGGGATCGTCGATCTGCTGGTTGGCCTCCGTGTTGTTTTTGGTCACCAGCGAGTCCAGCACGGCCTCCTTGGTGATGCCGGTGTCCAGCAGCTTCTTGATTTCCTCCAGGCAAACACTGGAGTTGGAGAAGGTGGTGACGCTCTGGGACCGGCTCTCCAGCCGGTTTTCCTCGATCAGCCAGTCGGGATCACGCATCAGAGCGCCGCACACGCAGGCGTTGAGCATGGTACCTCCAAGGATTAGAGTGGCTCCTCGCCAGCCGTACGACTCCATAAGGTAGGAGGTGAGGCGGGCGTACACAAAAGTCCCGATGCCAGTGCCCGAGGCTCCGATTCCGGTGGCAAAGGTGCGCTTCTTGTCGAACCAGAAGGCAATGGACACCACCGCTGTGACGTACCCGATGCCCAGGCCCAGACCCGAGATTATGCCAAAGGTCACCATCAGCATCTCGATGGAGTTGCAAAAGGAGGATAGCGCGAATCCAAAGGCGGAGACCACGCCGCCAATGATGGTCATCTTGCGGCAGCCGTACTTGTCCACCAGGTTGGACCAGATGGGGCCCATCAGCAGGGGCACGGAAAAGAACAGCGAGGATATCCAGGCGGTCTTCGAGGTGGACTCCCCAAAGTAGTCCAGCAGTTCGGCGTTGATCAGTCCAAACGAGAAGCTCAGTCCGTCGGCGATGAGGGACACCACCAGCGAGGCAAAGACCACTACCCATCCATAGCCACCATCGGGCATCTTGGGCGTCTTCTTCTCCGTGGAATTGGAGTCAATCGAATCGCCGGACTCGTTCGAGATCAGGCGCTTCCGCTTCTTCACCTGCCCGTTGCCGTTCATCATGATGGTCAAGGTTCCATCGTCCAGGGCGACGATGCTGCTCCTCACCACACGGCTGTGACCCGCCCCGTCCGCCAGCTCCTCCGCAGATAGGTTGCAGAAGGTGACCTCCGGAAAGAGGTCATGCTTGATGGCCTTGTGGAGGGGTGTGTTGGCCGGGGCAGGCGTGAGGGGCAGGGCTTGATAGTTGGTGAACACTCCATTCTGGTTGTTGTTGTTGACCGCCTCACAACTATTGTTGTTGGAGGCTTTCGGTTCCGACGCTAGCTTGGCCATGTCGGAGTCCCGATGATCCTGTGGTGTTCTGATGTTGCGGTGTAAAGGGTACAGCTACGTCTATAAAAAGGTTTGTAAAATTTGCACTTTCTTCTCCAAGCGATTATTGGAAGTGAACACAATTTGCATTAGATTTCAGCATAAATTTTCTTAAGTAGGCGGTAGATGATAAATATTCCCCTTATGTTTTCTTGGTCAACTGCAGTGCGTAGCTGAAAGATAGAGAAAGAGAGAGCATTCAACATTCCGCCTGATTAATTGGAAAAGTTGTTCCAAATTTTTTCCTAGTAAAATGCCCGATTTGCTTTATCTAACCTCGTAAAAAATATGGTTCTATTTCTAGAAATACGATTCGCGCGACTACAACAACATTTGCCTGAAACCATTTCGCTTAAAAATCCGCGCCGAAACTGTTTGGTCATTTGGCATTTCGTTCATTTGGTTTTCAGAGCGCCTTCAACTTGACCTCAGGAGAGGATTCCGAGAGATCCGAATGGCTTTCTTCTTACATCAGTCCCCAAACAAAATGCGTCACATGAACGCTACGTCTGCTGAGGTCTCCCAATAATTATGGGATCCGAAAATGAATATGCTAAAACCAATTTCGTTTTGGCGGCTAGTTTGCTTTCGAAATGGCTGTCTGCGGTTAAATATAGACTGTTATATAGGCTGTATAGGGTAAAAGTCGTTAACGATCGGACATATGTACAGGTACACGGCTGCTCTATAAAACCTGGCTAATAAAAATTTGGTTTACCCAGTGAAACTCACTAAATGCTAATGATTTATACAGACCAGCTTGGGCTGATTTAAATTCAAAATTATTACTTAGCACGATCCTGGCCAACAGAAAAAATGTAATTGCAAAATTTGAACCCAATAGCATTTATAGTTTGAGATCTGCATTGATTCCTTAAATTTTAACGTTTACTTTATGCACAGAGAAAAGGCAGACGTTCTCATATGAGTTGAAAATGTTCTTAAAATAAAACATTTTTGAAGTTGTAAATATTTTTTATTTTGCTCGAAACAAGTTGAATTGGCGGTATTTACATTGTATATCTCAACAAATAAACTATTAGTCCAGTCAGTAGTGTATACTATCAAAAAGTTTCGTTCTAATATTGAGAACATTGATACCAAAATGTACTTAGACGGTTTTTAAGAACGAATGTTCTCAATTCAAGAACAAAGTACTTGAAAAATTCTCTCTATGCACAGAGAAAATGCTGACGTTGTCATCTGAGTTGAAAATGTTCTTAAAAAAAGAAAACATTTTTGAAGTTGAAAATATTTTTTATTTTGCTCGAAACAAGTTGAATTGGAGGTATTTACATTGTATATCTCAACAAATAAACTATTAGTCCAGTCAGTAGTGTATACTATCAAAAAGTTTCGTTCTAATATTGAGAACATTGATACCAAAATGTACTTAGACGGTTTTTAAGAACGAATGTTCTCAATTCAAGAACAAAGTACTTGAAAAATTCTCTCTATGTATATATAAAAAATAGATGGGTAGTGGAATTACTGCATTTCTATTACCCTGATCAAATCCTACTTATTCATAGTGTATACTTATCAAAAAGCTTCGTTCTAATATTGAGAACATTGATACCAAAATGTACTTAGACGGTTTTTAAGAACGAATGTTCTCAATTCAAGAACAATGTACTTGAAAAATTCACTCTATGTATATATGTATAATAAATAGGTGGGTAGTGGAATTACTGCATTTCTATTACTCTGATCGAATCCTAGTTATTCATAGTGTATACTTATTAAAAAGTTTCGTTCTAATATTGAGAGCATTGATACCAAAATGTACTTAGACGATTTTAAAGAACCAATGTTCTCAGTTCAAGAACAATGTACATGAACAATTCTCTTTGTGTATATATAATATACAGATGGGTAGCGAAATGATTGCACTTCTATTACTCTGATCGAGTCCTAACTTGTCTTAAGAAGCGCAAAATCCCCTAGAAATTGCTTACCTTTCGTTATCCAAACAATGCTCTTTCCGCACGACAACAGCTCACGCCAAGAACTTGACAAATCGAAACGGTGAACTGCGGACTCTTAAGATTTCACTAGCACTAGTTTCACTGTTTCAGCACTGCCGCCAATCAATTCACCATAATTGCACAGATCTTCAGTTATGTTTAGCTCGCTCAGAGTGCGATTCGAGTGTTTATTCAGGGTGGCGGTCTTGTTGAAAATTCTTAGGCGCGGATCGCGGGGTATATAGTGCAGGAACACCTTGTTCGACTTGCCGCTGTTGTTGTAAGTACGGGGATTGTTGTTCTGGCTGTTATCGAACGATTTGGTCGTGGTCGTTGCGGATGCGGATGCTGCAGATGTTGCTTTGCCTGCACGATAGAATGACTTGGACCGAATGTCATTCATTAAGAACGCTAGGGGGTTTATCACAGGCCAACGGAGAATATATTGAGCGATTGGATGGTTGTTGCAGTTGTTGCTGCTGCTGCCGCTGCTGTTGTAGCAGTTTATGCTGCCGGTAAGCGGATTTTGCCCTGGCAGCCACATGCGGTACTTTGCTTTTCACGGAACTCAAACACTTTTCGATACGCTGTCGAACACAAAAAAATATAACAAACACAATTCACAAAACACAAAACTGGGCCTTCCAAAAGAGGTGTTTGCAGCGGCTCCGGGACAATCTGCCGCTCCCCGTGTCAAGTGCGCGGGGCGTGGTGCGGAGGCGGGCTGGCAGGCATTGTAAATATCTGTTTATATCTCTGGTGGGGCGAGCAACGCGGCGTATGATTAATGCGTCTCTGGTGGTGCAACTCAATCGCTGCCCTCGCTGTATTCGCCTCCTTCACGGGCTGATAATGATTTATGATGTCGGTCCTCGATTAGCTGAGCTGTCCTCGGTCCAAAACACTGCAAGAGAGGGTACAAAATTGGAAACCAGTGTTAGTTTAACTGATAAACGACTTAAATACGACCAAGGGGCCAAGCTTAAATCTATTAATACATTCAATGCGAGCCATAAATGTGCTCTGGGTTCATCAAGAAATTCCCACAAAGTCAGCTTATCAACTTAATTTAGCTTCTCAATTGACAAACAATACTGAATTGGTATGTGGGTTGGAACTAAAAACTTCTGAAGGGGAATAAAATTCCAAGAATCAAATACCTCTAGAGATGATAAGGATAAATAATGCTATAAATACTGCCCTATTTGTTTTTATTATGGTATTGTCATATTTTTTTAACATCTATTGTTTAAGTAAAAGTATTTTAAAGCTTTGCTAGATTATGGTAAATTATTCGAATGGTTTCTACTTTGTGGCAAAAAAAACAAAAATCGTATGTGTGCATAAGCTAACTAAACCGGATTTACTTTTGTTTAAATCTTTATCAGCCCTTGAGTCTACTTTGGCAAATTTTGAATGGAAATAAGGCAATATTAATCAAACGTTTTTTAGACATTTATAAACGCAAAAACACGTTTTGCACGTTTTCGTTTTTATTTCAGCAATACTGAGCGCCATCGTATGTATAACTAATGAATGAGACAAGTGATTATTGCACCAAGGTGACATGCAAAAATGGTGTACCCTTTTACACTTGTATAAATATACATTTAGTATATATATTTATGTTATGTTTGAAATTATTGTCAAATCACGTACTGTTTAATTTATTACACTTATTGTCATGACACCGACTAATTTAAATAATTTTTTCTAGGTTTCTGTCGGTTGATTTAATCATAAGTAAGCGTCCTAAGCACATTAACATTTAAGTTAGGATTAGAAATCCATTTCCATATACCAAATTTCCTAAAGAAATCTATATTTTCCACTCAATGAAAACTCAAGTCCCCTTCCTTAATGGAGCATCTAATATATCAAGTACACACGTTTACCAACGGAATGTGGCTGCGAATGGCCAAGTTCAACGTTCGAAAGGCAAAGCGATTAAAATACTCGTATACTGCAGGCTGAACAGAGAACTCTAGTAAACACGAAGCGGCATTTGTTTTAATTGCTGAGATTTTTAAAAACACGAGCGTCTGGTTTCCGACTTTAGCTAGACAGAGAAATTGTCTCTTATCAAGAATCAAATTCGGATCACGATTACTCGTAATTGGATGTACATCAGTATATAGATCATATATGTGTGGAGGTGATAGCGGAATTCGCCCTGAAAGTAAGTTGCTGGCTTATCTTTACAATATAATTGGCAGAAAATGGTTTTATTCGCTCTGATGCGATAAGCTAATGCTTAGCCTTCGAACCGAAAGATTATAGTTGAAGTTTATATTGTTACGAACGGGAACGAGACTAAAATAGATCTGTTACAATCTTGCTTTCCCGATAAAAACACATTTTTAATAAAGAGAATTTTATTGCATATATGTATATTTTAATTATTCTTAGGTAGATTCCACTTGGCATTACATTTTCCATTGAACTCGATGCAATCTAACTAGTTCAGTGCTATCTGCTGCGCCTTTTTGTATGCTACACTTTTGGAATGCACTCGCGTTTGGAGTAGCACTTGTACTTTGTAGAGCAAATCGTGCTTGAAACTTAAAGTCCACATTTTTTTTTGTCCGTATTTACACAACATTTACACCAGAATGGTTGAAAACAAAGGCGCTGAAGAGGCTAGGCAACCGCCAACATCTCTGTAAAGTCACACTCGGATTTTAATACGGACTCGGATTCGGATTTGGACACGGTTTCGGGCTCGGATTGAAGAACAACAGACCCGCAGCTCGTCGGAAGACCGACTAAACCTAAACCCACTCACGCCGCTGCCGGCGGTATGGAACTGGGCAGAGCGTCGGCTATCGTTTGCCTTAATCTAATAAATTTCTTATCAAAGAGCGTCGTGAATATACTATATAGTGTGTTCTATATCTGTGCGTCTGTGCACTTACAAACACAAGTTCGGATGCTCGTAGAGTCGGTATGTAATGGCACACGCGTCGGCGTCTGTCAACATGCCAACCTTTGTGACGCGGTCTTCTCGGTCTCTTTTTGGCAGTGGTGGTCAGATTTGGATTCGGAGCCTGACATCCCCATATATATGTATTTATATACAAAAGTTTATATATAAACATATATGCGCTTTGTAGCGCTTGTATACCAATCATGTGATTGTGGGTAATTGGGGGTATTCTAGTTACAACGGCAGTGGCTCACTTTAAAATCAGAACAGACGTCCACAACCTTGATCTGCTAATAAATATTATTTTCCCATGAAACAGCTGTGAACTATCAAAGGGGAAAGCAACTATATCTATATTAGCAAATAACTTACATACAACATCACTGATAATCACCTTAAAAGAAATTGCCTTAGTGGTTCGCTTTGAAACACTTGCTACAAGGCCATAAAATAAGAATTTAGTTCCTACACAGAGAAAATTCTGACATCTTCACTTGAGTTGAAAATGGTCTTAAAAATAAAACGACAAGTTGAAAATGTTTTAATTTTTCTCGAATCAAGTTGAATTGGCGGTATTCGCATTTTATATCTCAGCATATCAACTATTAGTCTAGTCAGTAGTGTATACTTATCAAAAAGTTGTTAAGTAAACTCATTAGAGAACATTAATACCAACACGGTTTTGGAGAAATAATGTTCTCGATTCAAGAACAGTGTACTTGAATATTCCCCTCTGAATTTTGTTTAATTTCCCATATACATTTTTTAGTATTATGTTAAAATAGAACTTACTTATGAGGCTTTAGTATGTTTGATTATAGTTCAAAATTATTCGACAATGAATACTAGATTTATTCGGTACACTTTCATTAATATTTTTTGTACTCCAACTGTGGCTTGCCGAATCTAATATGTTCTAGACAAATCCGCTTTCCCACTTTATCAGTTGCTTCACATAATTTGGGGAAAATGAGGAATTTCTAAGCACATAACTGGGCCAAAATTGCCTTTTTAATTATGTTGATAAGTCAAAAAAAAGGTTCTGCGCCGTTGGTTCAAGTTGGTTAATTGTGAGGCAATTATTTGGTGCGTTCTACGAGCTGAGCGATAAGTTTTATAGCGCCCATATTTAACACAGGGGTTCTCTTTGACGCTGACCTAGGCCATTGAATTTGGGTTATTGGTCTGATTGCTATATGGAGGGCTTTAAAATATAAGATTACCTGGGAAAACCAAGGAATGTGTGCACTGTCTGAAGTCAAGATAAAAAAATTGGGTTGTCCAGAAAGCTTAAGCTTAAATTGTTTGTTTTGATTATGCCTTTAAGCAAACTAAGGTAATTGACCTAATGTAATTTGACTGGCTGCCTTTACGTTTTAATTGAAAGAGTTAAGCAAATTGATTGAGCCATGTGATGGAGGCAAGGACAAGCCGTTCACCTTGAATCGAATTGAGTTTGCTCTTCTCAATCGCTTTCAGAATTGCCCATTAGTGTGTCAACCGAACGAAGTTTGTTTTGCGAATGGTTTGTCCAAGAAGGAGAAGCTCCAATAGCAAATATTCCCCTACTGGCAGCCTTTGTCCTTCGAATCCTGCCCTTTATGGCAGTTAAGGGAATTTCTCCCCGAGAACTTAGCCTCGAAGCCTGGAAAGTTCAAAACTTAAGCAATCTCTGACGCCAGCAAAGTTCACACCGAGTAAAATCGTTCGATAAGATGCTTTCTAATGTGTGCTCAGCTTGCCAACATCTGATGTTGGTTTTGCCTTCTGCTTAATTGAGGTCTGTAATTGATAGTGGGATCGGCTAAGCCCCATTCTGAACAGAAAAAACTGCTGCCAGTTGTTAATTGATTTGCGGTTTAGATGTTTAGTTTGGCGGTGTGGGTGGGATTTTTTTGCATCGCCGGTTTCGCTGAGAGATTCGCTTGCGTGCTTGTTTGGGTGCACTTTTTGCTCAATTAATATAGTTAATTTGGTATGACTGCATAACCAAGAATTTGGGAATAATTAACAAAAATAGATAAATTTGTTTTGATAATAAGAAAAATTTGAATGTTTATTTTAAATATGATATAGGCTTAAAAAAAAATCTAAGCCTATATCATACTTTTCCAGGTTAGGGTACAATTTCTCGTCTGCATGTTTAACTAAAAGTAGGGTTTAAGCTGGAAAATACGTTTTCTAGAAGACGAGAAAACAACTATAAAGTACTTAAAATCAGGGAAAAATTAATTTATTATGCAAAATTTTAGATAAAATTGGAGACATAGATAAAAAACAAATCTAAATAATTAATTTATCTTTTTAAAATTGTTATAAAGTTTTTCTTACTTTCGTGATTTTAATTTTATTGAAATTATTGGATAACGCATTAGGTATATCTATTATATTAGTCTATAAAGTACTTAAAATCAGGAAAGACTTAATTTATTATGCAAAATTTTGGATACAATTAGACACATAAATGTAAAAAAAAAATATAAATAATTAATTATTTCTTTTAAACAATTAAAAAAAATGTAAACAATTATTTGTATCTTTTTAAAATTGTTATAAAGTTTTGCTTACTTTCGTGATTCTAATTTTATTGAAATTATTGGATAACGCATTAGGTATATCTAGTCCGTTAGTGCAGAGATCTTTATCTAGTTATATAGAACTATGATCTTCTTCCCTGCTGAAAAACGGTGTATTATGATTTATGAAGTACAAAAACGCTCTAAGGTTCTTTAGAAATTATTTGTATATATAATTTATAGCGTAGCCAGTGAAACCTTTTCCCTTGGCCAAATCAACTTTTTAGACTTGGCTGATGCCGTCACTTGAAAGCTTGACAAGAAAGTCACCGCAAAAAGTTGCAAAGGGGGTGGTACCTTTAGCAAGTGCAGGTGCACATACAGACAGGTGTCGCTGTGGACTGGCCCACACTTTCGGCGTCCTTTCATGTTTTATATTTACCTTTTGCAGGACGCGGGGGA